GCCATATGTTGAACTCCATTGGGAGTTAAATGCTGCAGCTCCACCTCATAATAATCCAGCAGCCCCCGAAGGAATCTATGCGCAGGTACGGCAAATCCCCGCTCATGGAAGATGGCGAAAGACACGACATACCCTTCGGGCGGCGCCGGCTCATCCTCGTCACCAGGCAGCAGCCACTCCTAGACGGCGGACAGTGGATGGAGAAGGCCACGGCAGACGAGGCCCTCCAAACGCCGAGAGGTGATGCCAGATCTACCCCAAAACTCCATTGAAGCGATTGGGGAGAAAGGTGGGTGCGAGCTCAACGACGGCTACGAGGCGGGCGCAAGCTTGACGGCGGCTGCAGCACGGATGCAAGCTGGTCGACGATGGCGGTGCGGGCGCAGGAGGCTAAAGGCGACTAGCGACGGAGGTTCCAGACATGAAGATGAGAAGGCGGAATACAGGACCCCGAGGGCGAATCCTATGGTTTTATAGGGGTGACGGATGCGAGAAGGGCAACCACCCGCTTCGATCCCCGGGCCTGCCACGCGCACCGCCGCGTCACGTCGCGGGACACATGCCCGTAGTCCCTATCCTCTCCCACCGAAAATCATGGTGGATGGTTCGCCTTCCCCAGGCAAATCCAGACTCTCTTCCCACCTAGGGAACGCAGGTCACAAAGATTTTTTCTCTTTGGCCCACCTAGGGCCCAGAAGCTCGGCAGCCGGCCCAACTAAGGATGGGTCCATGAACGATCCGAAATCAAGGGCGCAAGCATTACTGGTGTCTCGATCCGCAGTCAAGCCCCAGTCAGGTTAGCCCTGAATGAGATCCCCGCGACCGGGATACCACGACCCCCTCGGAAAAATATCCAGCTGACAAGAAATCATAATCTTATGGTCTTACCCGCGGAGGGCCCAATACTAATCACCCGAGGGCTCGGGGACTACACCCACCGGGTGCGCTCACGTGCACCCTCTGGAAAGTTAACTCCGACGAGATCGAAAAGAAAAAACCCCCCAGGCAATTCTACTCAAATCACCCGAGGGCTCGGGGACTACACCCACCGGGTGCACTCACGCGCACCCTCTAGAAAGTTAACTCCGACGAGGTCGAAAAAAACCCCCCCAGGCGATTCTACCCGAATCACCCGAGGGCTCGGGGACTACTGTCGGGGACCTAATACTGGGGTACCCAAGGAGGTGGAACCAATAACCATCAAACGTTAAAAGCTCCCGAACGGACAAGAGCATGGCTGCACTTCTTGCCCGAACGACGGGAGTTTTGTTCCGCCTCGCCCGAACGCCCGTGGACCCGCTCCACCTTGCCCGACGGCTGGAGGACAACTCCACCTCGCCCGACGGCTGGAGGATGACTCACCCGACCCCCAAGGGATACACTCCGCCTCGCCCGACCCCCGAGGGCTGGGCTCGGCCTCGCCCAACGCCTGAGGGCCGGCTTTACCTCATCCGACGACCGATGACGGATCTCGCCTCACCCGATATTCGAAGGCTGGCTCCGTCTCACCTGACAAACCGTGCCCTGCACCCTCATGATGACGGCTATAGGGTAAGACAAGACGTTCGGGTCAACCGCAGCATCAGACGCCATGCCCTGCACCCCTGCAAGGAAGTACCGTCAGGATGTGACAGGACAAGCGCTGGGACCCCCCCTAGGCGTGGCAGAGCCTGAATAGTGTTGCGGGCGCCTGCTCTCTGCCCTACAGTATTGTAGGCGCCGCCCTCAGCCTCTGGACGAAGGACCCAACATGGACATACGACAACCACTACATCCCAAGGGCCAACCAACAGTCACCACGCCGTCCGACCCCCACGGGGTCGGGGCTCGACAATCCTATCCGACCCGCCGCCCACGGGGCGGGATGGGACACCCCACTTGCTAAAAAAGGCAAAGGCATGGCCTACGAAGATCAATGAACACGCTACTTCTGACACAGTTTGCCAGGATAGGCAGGGCAGGCGTGGGGAAGAAGGAAGACTCGGGTCTCTCGAAGGACCTTCTACGCTCTTAGTATTTTTTCCTTTCCCCCATCTGTAAACGCCTGCACCCCCCCCTTTGTCTATAAAAGGGAGGGCGGGGCTCCCCACTAAGAAGATCGACTCTGGACGAGCTAGCACACGCACACGCACCATACAACCGAGCAGCAACAGAGCTCTTGGCATTCTTTCCACTACTCCATCAGGGACTTGGGATCTCTCCCTCTCCCAACCGTTTGTACCCCCTAATACGAACCTCATTCGGTGCTAATAACACGAGCAGCAACAGACTGGACGTAGGGACATTCAGCCCGAACTAGTATAAACCTTGTGTCCATTAGTGCACCATCCGGGCCTAACGCGCATCAAGTATAAATTTACTAGCCGGTGTTTGTTCGAAACACCGATAGGCGTCTTTGTGGTTCCTCACCTGGTTGAACACATCTTTACAAAGGCCTCTAAATATGGTGTTTCTAGCATTTGCATTCTATTTTTTAAAGTTCAACTCATCGCCTTGTGGGTGTGCGGCATCCCGAGGTTTTGGGAAACCTTGTGAGGCGGCTCTAAGTATTCTAACATCTAGAGCTTCTAGATACGCCTCCATACGAATTTTTCAATAAGGAAAATCGTCCCCCTCAAAGATATGAGGTGGTCCATCCCTGTGAGACATCTTTTACTAGGCGGTTAAGCCTAAATATGTGAGCACGAGGCTCTGATACCAATTGAAAGGATCAAGATGCCCAAGAGGGGGGGGGGTGAATTGGGCTAATTCTAAATTTCTTTGCAATAATTAAATCCTACGGTTAGCCCAATTAACCCCTTGTGCCTAAAAAGTGTTTCTAGTTGTTCTACCGCACAAATGACTTGCAACCTAAGTTCCAATCCCACTCTAACATGGCAATTCTATGAATTGTAAAGACAAGAATTGAATTGCTCAATGTAAATACTCTAAGTAATTACTCAAAGAAAATACTCAAAGTAAATGCTCAAAGTAAATAGAGAAGAAGGAATGTGGCGATGTTTTGCCGAGGTATCGGAGAGTCGCCACTCCCCACTAGTCCTCGTTGGAGCACCCGCGCAAGGGTGTAGCTCCCCCTTGATCCGCGCAAGGATCAAGTGCTCTCTACGGGTTGATTCTTCGACACTCCATGGCGGTGAATCACCCACAACCGCTCACAACTTGAGTTGGGTCATCCACAAGCTCTCCGGATGATCATCAAGCTCTCCAATCGCCACCAAGCCATCTAGGTGATGGCAATCACCAAGAGTAACAAGCACGAACTCTCACTTGACCACGACAAGCCTAGGGAGAAGGGTGGATGCACACTTTGGTACTCTTGATCTTACTAATGAGGGCTCTCTTTGGGATTCTCAAATCTCAATCACCTCACTAGGACCTTGCTCTTCTTGGCACTCTCTAAGGTATGTTTCAGCTGTTGGAATGAGCAAAAGTGACTCCACACACGAGTGGAGCTTCTATTTATAACATTGGCTGGAAAACGAACCGTTATGTGCCTCTGCGGGGTGATCGGACGCTTCGGTCATGTTCTCCCCGAAAACCAGTGATTACAGTGTGACCGGACGCTGCCAGCGTCCCGTCAGCACTGACCGGACGCGTCCGGTCGTGATTTTCCCTCTCTGGAACCTTATTGGAGTCGACCGGACGCTGGCTCTCAGCGTCCGGTCACTCGACCTTCCAGCGTCCGATCGCGCCAGGCGCAATCACCTTGGTCAAATGAACTGACCGGACCCTGCGCCAGCGTCCGGTCACACCGAACCCAGCGTCCGGTCAGTATTTGACCCTCCATTCACTTCCAACTCTCGATCATACGTGAATGAAGTTTGCTCCATTGGATCTTAGGCATATGTAGGAGCTATCTAGCGCTAGTTTTAATAAGTGTGCACCACACCTAACTCACTAGACTCACCTAGGTCAAGCTACCCGTCCATACCCCCCTTAATAGTACGGCCAAAGAAAAAACAAAGTCCTAAACTACTCTAAGTGTCTCTCCAACTCTAATCGACACTTAGAACTAGTCATCCTTAACCTTGTCGTCCATCCTTTGGAAACCGAAACGATTTCCATCGTAGGAGCATGACCACCATGATTGCCCAATCGATCTCCATTATCATGACCTAACTTAATTGCCTCTGCAAAACACACGTTAGTCATAATAATCTTGTATTGTCATTAATCATCGAAACCCAACTAGAGGACTAGATGCTTTCAACTATAATTTAAGAAGAAACTCTTTACTTGGTTTAATCCATGGGTATACGTGTTATCTGAGTATTTACATAAGTTATCTTAAAATTTTTGAAATGTATTATATTACACGGTTTCACAAGTGACGCCTCAGTAGAAAAATCATAGGGTAATTTACAAAGTCCCACTGGATTTTACATTTTGTAAGAATGGCACTTGAATGGTACCTCACATGACATTTTTATAATTTTCTAACTGAAAACTTGCAGTTAGGGCTCTTCAGGGCTAAATTTTTTGCAATTGTGCCTAAACCTTAAAGTCAATTAAAAACTATCAATTTAAGCATATTCTCTGTGTTGTAACAAAAGCAAAATATATATATTCAATTAAACGTGTGATGTCAAATGAACTGGCACTATGAACCTACATGGCATTGGCATGGGACAACCGATCAATAGCTTTGAACTTTCATTAATATATTGAATTCCGCATGACACAAAACCTCATTAACAAGCAGACCCCAAAGTCCAAAAAGTTGCTACAGTACCTGTTACATCGAATGTTTATGGCCGTGCATGGAGCATTAAATGTAGACGAAAATAAAAACTAATTGCACAGTTTGGTGGAAAATTACGAGACGAACGTTTTGAGCCTAATTAGTCCATGTTTGAACACTATTTGCTAAATAAAAACGAACGTGCTACAGTAGGCCAAAATCCAAATTTCTCCAACTAAACAAGGGCTTAGATACTATATAGCGCTTTACATTGACTTCGAGACAGATTCGCAGACAAGGAACTCTGATACCAAACATGTTATCCTACAATTTTATAGCTTGGGTTGACAAGGTTGTCCAAGCCTGAGACGACTTGGATTGATTCGATGACATCCCCAACTTTGACATCCGCCAAGTAATCCTCATTCTCAGTTACATATCCAAATACCGTGTACCGCCCATCCAATATATTGGCATTGCTTGGTGTTAGCTCACTCTCTTTCAAGAGCCAAAATACTTGACTAGAAGCAGAATTGTCATCAAATTCCTGTCATGCAATTCAGTCATCTCAGGTTAGAATACATTAGATACTATGAAGATCGTCTGCATATGCTGATATGTGCAATCTGCATGTCTCTTACTTCTCTAGCCATAGCCATTGTTCCAAAAGCGTTAAAAGGAAGCTTTGTTTGAGCCTTGTAGCGGCCAAGTTCCTGCAAATCCACCCGTATGATGTAAGGGCTTATCCCAATCTGATGAAAATTAGAAGCACTGATGAAATGAAAGGATTAAGAGAAAAGACTGCTTCTGCTTACTTCAAGTGTTTCACCATATACAGGAGCCTTATCACCATCAACCATTATTTCAAGAGGTACTGTACGAATTTTGCCAGTGCTGGGATCGATGAAACCCTCAGCTGGTCCCTCTGGATCTCCAGTTTGAACAACAAAGCCATCAGCTGCATAAGAATCAACACAGTTCAGAGAAAGCTCACTGACCTCTAGGCACACTAGGTCATCTAAAACAATGAACATTTATAATGGTTAGATGAATTGTAATGTTCAAAAAATTTCCAGGAAATATCATCCTTGTGATGGTTCGGAATTGCAGAAATGTATATACTACTTCCCCAAATAAAACTCATGTCTAATAAAACTTAATGGTTACCAAATTGAAACATTGTAACAAATGGTGGATAGTGCAAGAAAGAGACTGATTGTTAGGAAGGACCAAAATGTTGAATTACCTCTTTGGATTTCCATGCCATCATAGAATTTCCGTTCGACCAGATCTATGAAGTTCCCAGCAGTCACAGGAGCATTATATCCATCCAGAACTATCCGAAATACACAATCTTCTATGTTGGGATTGTCCTTAATTTTAACCTTCATATCCACGGTAGCTCTTCCTTTGAGAAGAGGCATGGTGCTGTACTCTTCTGGTATTTCATACGGAAAGCCATCAACCATGTCTTCTTCTACACTGCAGAAATGCAATGTCCCAGCAAGATCTCAGCTGCAGAGTCAATGACAAGGTATAAATGAGAAGAGCTGTTTCAGAACAGTTCTTACAGCTATTTAGAGGCAGATACAATTCTGTTCTCTAGCATTAGAGAGTTATTTTTGTTTAACAAGAATTTTCGCTCAGTGAACAAGAATATTATATATTTATAGACACAACAACTTTCTGGCAAGAAATTTCACATCTGGCATCCAGAAATAGGTTTCAGAACTATTGCTGCTTTGCACTACACTGGCATGAAAAAGAACATGGTAGTTTTGCTTCAAGGAGTAAGTTTACTCACGTTCCAACGTACTGGAGAAGCTCTTTCTGCTTTGGAGCTACTGCATCCCTATTTCTGTCCTCCACAATTCTTTGAAGCTCGTCAAGTCCAACAGCCAACTTATTCAATAACTCTTCTCCATTTGCTCTTTTTGGTTCAGCAAGACCAGCAAGAATTAAGCTTCTCCCATTGTTCAGTGCTCTTGATGCTTGCTTGATATTCTAGAATTCAAAGGAAAATTCATAAGTTCCACAAAAGAGGTGTAAATCAAATTGATAACACTTGGAATGGAATGGCAACTGCTTTCAGTAATCAAATGCAGTTTCCATCATCTGATAAACCCTGGATCATGACTTACTCTTTCAACTGAATCCAAAGCTCTAACACCAGCAACCTTGAGGCTGTCAGTGATATCCTCCAGTGGCTTTTGAACTTCACGAATAGCTTTATTATCTATTGGTAAAGCATATCTCAATAAAGCACCTGGATCTTTAATGGGAGGTCCAGAGATCAGAACAGAGACATCTGGAAGAACAGGTTCAAGAGGAGAAGCATACGCCGGTGACCCAAACGTTGGTGCACCGGTAATTAGTCCAACTGACAATGCAACAGAAATTGCACACTCTTTCCAGCTTAAGGGGTTTCTTTTCTGCAAGGTAGTAAAGAAAGCTTGAGAGATGTGACATATTAGCGCATTCTAAAATGCAGTAGAAATCATAGTGCATGTCCTTGGCATAAAGTGTTGTCTCCCAAAAGCTTACATTGCTCAGAACATGCCAAGGAATTGCATGCTCACTTTAGATGGTTATTAATGTATGAGTAATGAATATAACTTCGAAAAATCTGCACAGCAGTAATCTTACGCATAAAAAGTTGAAGTGCATGAATAAAAAAACTAAAGTAGTTTAGTTTAGAAAAGTAATCTTCCAGCTTCAAATCTTTGAGCAAAAAACTCGAGGCTGATATGGTTTTCCTCTTATCACACACAGTACCATTTCAATCATGAGAATTCTCAGGACTTGACACTAGACTAGTTCGCATTTCATGATTTCTTTCCACCCTACTATTTTCGTGACAGGTGTCTGAAGGAAGTGGCAAAACATCAAGTGTCCATTGATTACACACAACTTCACATCTTTTTCACTGACTGCTCAACAACTTCACATCTTTTTCATTGACTATACTCAACTACACATCACAAATAGTTTCTAGATTAACATTGAGCAACCCTGCACCCTTTATATCCTGATAAAAAATCTGAACCATGTTACCCATATTTCCACAGGAAGCACAAAAGTCCCTTTTATCTGATCTTTCCCCAACCACTAACTAACGGACATAAACAATCGTCACCAGTTTACAGCTTCAACTAGAGAAATTCTTCACCAGTTGAGCTCATGGTTTCAATCAAGAGCCGGGATCAGCGTGGCAGCATTGCTAGGCACCGGCATGCTTGACCTGCCTGGCCGAAGTTGCAATGCAGTACCAACGAGCCACATTGCTAAACAGCCATCGAAGCATATATCCCAGTTTCACACACACCCACACAAAAAGAGAAATGATAAGAAATGCAGCTGGAGCCCATGAACCTGACCTCTCCTCCGGAAAGCGCGCAGCGGGCGACGGAGCGGCGGCCGCGGGTCGGTAGGGGCGGCAGCGACGGGCGGCTGCAGCAGCAGCGGGAGGAGGCGAGCGCCGCCGCCATGTGGTGGTGGTGGTGGTGGGGGCGGGGGGTGGGTAGGGTTTGGACTTTGGAGGGAGCGGGGTGAGAGAGGGGAGAGAGGGGGGAAGAGTCGAAGAGACGAGGCGCCGGTGGTGGAGACGAGAACGAACGAGGTGGTCCGTGCCGTGCCGGTGGTGGGTCGGTGAGGTGGGATAAGGCGGGGCGACGGAGGCGCGCTAGGATTGGTGGAGTGGCCGCTGAGGTGGATAACGGCATGGATAAGGACGTGATTGACTCGCCGGAGCGGGATGCAACAGTGTCACGCTGTTTGGTTGGCTGGCCGACGAGCCGGCGCTGGCTCAGCGGATGCAACGGACGCCCCGCGCGGCCTGGAAGACTTGCTAAACACTGTTTTGTCTAGCCAAGCAAGAAATTAGACGAGCAGTGTTGGGATCCAGGGATTAAAGTTTACTGATGTCACATTAGGTATTTGATAAAGGCTAAACATGAGTCTAATTAAGTTTAATAGATTCGTATCATAAATTAGTCTCTATCTGTACAATTAGTTTTGTAATTAATCTATGTTTAATACTATAAATTAGTGTTAAACATTCGATGTGACAGAGACTAAATTTTAGCAGCAGGAACTAGGTGTTCGGATCATTACCTTGTTACCCGTGCTGGCAAGGTTTTCCTTGCTACCTAGGGAGAGCCAAATTGGCTTGTCTGGGCTGGCAAGCACCTCATGGCTTGAGCCATCTTGAGGAGGCGAGGCTAGTCAAACCAGTTAAAGCCTCCGTTCTTCGCGAGCCATGCCCGCACTATGCGGCTTGCGCGTGTGTTGTAAAACACATAAATACTGACACAAGGATAAACAGGTAATGAATCGTCTTCTCTCAATACTTGGACCAGATACAGACGTGAACCAATCAGCGTTGCCTCACATGCGTTCAGCCTGGGCAGTGGCGGCCGGGCTCCCAGGAAACATCTAGGTTGCGCTGAACCAATCATGCCCTAAGCCTCCCCTCTCAAGTTTCAATGGAACCCGGCAACAAAAATACTAAGGTATCATGGCATTTTCAGAATACATTAGAGGGTATCAGTATCATATGATTCTGTGTACAAACAGAAAAGCTGGAACTTTCTTTAAAATAAAATCCCTAGCCAAAGTTCAAATGATCTAACTTAGATCACCTTTGGTACCACTCTGTTTTACTAGTGGAACATGCTTTTTTCTTTTGCTTCAGCACCACAAGAAACCCTACTGTTGTTTTACAAAAATGTAGTATTATCTACGTCCCATAAAAAAAATATAAATCTCATTTCCCGAAAAGTAAAAAAAATCTCAAGTTTGACAAAGTTTATGGAAAAAAGTATGAATATTTATATTTTGAAATATATTTGTTATAAAACTATATTCTATGCTTAGTCTAATGATACTTATGGTGCATCATAAATATTAGTATAATTGTGTACATGTGTTGGTCAACCTTGATATTGTTTGACTTCTTGAAAAACGAGATTTACATTTTTTTTAGGATCGAGTGAGTAAAACAACTTCTTAGTTCTCATAGCAGACTGAGAGAGGAAGCTATGAGAAGCTAGAATTCAGCTTCATATCACTTCCACCTCTGTGAGACCGGGTTTTAAGGAGTTTTTTCTTGAGAAGTTGTTCCATTTCAACTCGCTTGACAAAAATTAGCTCCAAACAACTCATGAAACTGCTAGAAAAGCTGGCCCCATAGTTAACTATTTAACCACTCGACTTATAAAAACTATAAGCTATCTACTACATATTACAGAAAAGCTAAGGGCTAGTTTGGCAGAGCTCTCAGAGCAGCTTCCAGGCTCAGGAGAAGCTCTGTCAAACAGTTTTTTTATGGAGAAGTGATTCTTTGCTGATTCTGTGAAGTGATTCTCTAAAATAACTAGGAGACTAAAAACTGAAAAAGTTGCTTCTCCTAATTCACTCGCATGGAATCACTATATGCATAGAGTTTATCCTATAGAGAATCAATTTCATAGAGAATCACCTCTCACTGAGAACTCGGATTCCATAGAGAATCTAAAGCAGAAGGAGCTCTACCACAATGGCCCTAAAAGAATATAAACATGTCCTATAACATGTTGCATATCTATTATACATGGAATAACGAGTAAATCTATTATTTCCTTCGACTTTTTTAATACATAAAATTGAACTAATGAGCTCATATGTAAAAGGGTTGAAAGAATTATATTCCTATGTATAGTATCTCTCACTAAAAATGCCCGTTATAGGCAAGATTGTTCAAACCTTAACAATAGGACCCGTGCTCTCTCAACTCCAGCAGACACCAACGCATCAAGAACGCAAGGCCGCAAACAATACCTCCTAATAGACCACCGCTTCGTTAATCATTCATTGAGACTAACTTTCATGTAAACTTATTTCATATATTAAACAAAAGAGGGTGTTATTTACTGTATGCATAGTTATAGAATATCAACTCTATTACCTATGTGAATTATATATGTTGCCGACTTTTCAAATTTCTGTGTATGTATATTGATTTGGTTCCCAATAGCATGAGGTTTTATTATACATTTTACACGTGATATGAAAAGAATATTTAGATTATATATTATTGTTATTATACGTTTTGCAAGTAGGTTTAATTAAGGGCAGTGCTAGCGCCCGGATGTCCGACGGACACGCGCACCCGGAGCCCACGCAGCTTGTCCCATCCGCTAATTTTTTTCCAACCCCTCGCAGCGCCCGCATGTCCGGCCGACCCACATGGCACGCGCTGCCTGTCCTTTCTGCCTTGATTCAAGGCTGTTCGGCCCACCCAACACGCGTACCCTGCCTGTCAGGATCAACGCCCTCTTAAGTGAGTACCCAAGATGATTATCCACCAGGGATTATTAAGTTGGACACATCCCTTAACAGGTCATCCTGGTACACCCCCCATTAGATGTACTCGGGCCGGCCTCATTCAGGATCAGTTCAAGAGAGAGAATACATCACAACCATGCTTAAGTTACATCACAGTTTAAAAGCATTAAGGTTTACAAGTTTTGGTTCACATGCTTAGTTCATAACACGGTCACACCAACTACATCAAAGTCTAGCGGAAGTCTTTCAACATAACATAATTTCATGATAACTGATACACGGGTGTGCCACATCCGTGTATCTACGGAACACAGAATCGTTCACCACTCCTGATCCGGTGAAGGGTCTGGAGCATAAAAGAATCCATGAACGGGAGCTACGGTATCTACAAAACTTAAGACCCAACAGGGGTGAGTACTCGAATGTACTCCATAGGTCTTACCCAATATAATAAACAAGGATTATGCAATTTGGGTAGTAGCAAGGAATACGTATCATTTGCATAAAAGCATTTATACCAAAAGTAAAGGTGATCTATGAAGCAGCAATAGTAGAGCGTAGCATAGGTAATCAATGTAAGCTTTTAGCCAATTGGAACTCGATCTTCCACGAGTCCTGATTTTTTGAACCCAATTCTAGTCCGTATCTAGAAGTTAGAACTTATTGCTTTCAAAAGTAAACTTTGCAGAGGGGTACAAGTTAACGCCACCCGAAACAAGGGATATCGCCCAAAAGATCCGTCGGTACATAAGGGATACCTCGATGTTTCAACCTTTCCCTAACCCGACCAAGATGTCCGATGAAAGGTTCGGCTTAGTGCCCAGTTATTGTCACAAACCCGGACATTCCTGACCGGCGCAACCCCCTTGCCAGTTTCATGAACAAAACGGTTGCAATCATGGCTTGTCACCCCCATTGGCGACAAGTGGTCTATACAATTTTATGTTCTTACTACCACGGATGCACGGTCCTTACCGGTAAGCAAGCTATGTCATCCAAGAATCCCCCTTCTTGCCATGACCATACCCCTTGCCGACCATTACCCTTCCCATTCCCATGTGGAACAAGTGGTGATCCTTTCCCAAAGGTATTGCTTGGTGGGTGGACAACCTATCATCGCGTGAGTAATGAGAAACCCATCATTAGCTCAACTCTAAGATCTAAGCATACTAAGCAGGGTGATTAATAAAGACACACAGGATGCTTGGGGTGGCGTTATGTGGTTATGGCTTGGCATAGGTGAATCCCTTCCGGTTCACTAGTCATACTGTAACATAGTAATGCAATAAATAACCATAGTTCATTATGCATTTAAAAAGCATAGGGATGCATAGGGGCCTGCCTTGAACGTCATTGCTAGGCTCGGCGGCTTCTTCCTCCCGAGGCTCCTCCTTAGGCATAGGATCTTCAGAGATCGCGTCACCTATATGCATGATGCTGGATGAGCGATTTGCATAAGGTACAATACTCAAGTTATAGGATGTCATGCAATGATATTTAGTTGTTTGAGCTTTAGTGTTACAAGAGTGAGTGTGCAACTCGGCTAACGCGATTATACGTTGTAAAGTGACGTGTGCATGTTTATGCAATTTGTTAGTATTTTGGTGAAAAAATCGTTGTAGTGTTAATCCTAATGCGATTATACGTAGTATAAGTAGCGTCCGAGCAGTTAGCTCTTTACTGGACTCTTGGCCTTGGCTAGCCCATAGTCCATAATGTCGAGCGCGGAGCCCGTGCACGTGTAGGAGGAACAGGCGTGACCAAGAAACCACAGCCGACCACCCATAACGCAGAGTGCGGAGCCCGTAGTACGTGTAGGGAGAGATCGGAGACTGGCTGGGTCTTCTCCAAAGAACACAGAGCGGAACGTGTGCCGCTCAGCGGTTGGCAAAAAAATCTTGGAGATATACGTAGTATAAGTAGCGTCCGAGTAGTTAGTTCTTTACTGGGCTCTTGGCCTTGGCTAGCCTATAGTCCATAACGTCGAGCACAGAGCCCGTTCACGTGTAGGAGGAACAGGCATGACCAAGGAACCGTCAGCCGACCACCCATAACGCAGAGCGTGGAGCCTGTAGCACGTGTAGGGAGAGATCGAAGACTGGGTCTTCTCCAAAGAACACAGAGCGGAATGTGTGCTGCTCGGCGGTTGGCGAAATATCTTGGA